CATCACAAAATGTTTGCATTAGCACACAGAAAAAAAGAAAATATTTGGACATGTCAGAGTGGAAAAAAAGTTTCGCTTAGATTTATTATTCTATCAAAAATTGGAAAACATGACAAACTATTCTATAATTAGATAGCATTTAATGGGAGTTAGTGAACATCGAATGAAAGGTCTTTAAATTTTTATGAAATCTCATTAACGCTTTTCCTTATGAGTAATTAAAACAATATTTATGATAAATCCACCGTCTGTAATGTTCTTAAATCGTCAGATTATAATATCAAACAACACTCGTAAAAAATCTTTAACTTGCTAGCGAATTTCTTTGAACAAATTTTCTTTCTTTAATATCTTACAGCAGAACAACCTTTTCAGATAAGAATAAACTTTGTCTTCCCGTTTGTGTTTCCCTCTTCAAAGGATCCCACAAAAATTCAAAACTCGAAAGATTCAAGAGTTACTCATAAAGCGATTATGAGAAATTTATTCACCCACCGACTTAAAAGTATTGTCCTTTTTATACGTTATTCTTGTGAGTGAAGACTGATGTTCGTTGCGAGCTTGTGTGTGTTTTTTATGAGCTTTCCAACTGTGCTTTTATGCTCGCAGATATTTTTAGAGCTTAAGATTTTCTATGTGGTGCATGTGTAAGTACAATGTAGATAGGCTCAAATATGAATGCATGTTTTATAGACTGTAAAGAACATTAGTTTTGAATTATTTGTTCTCCTTAAATTATGAAATATTGTTGAATGCTTTTCTTCGAAAGCGAGCGGAAGAACGCTATGTTTAGGAATTCCACTTTGTAAAGCAATGAGAAATTATTTACACAAGCAAAACACAAAATCGCTTTTGGCTTGTAAATTACATCATGCTTGTATGTATGCAGAGAACAAGAGATTCCGGGACACCTGAATGATAAAAATTAAAAATTAATTTAAATGTATTCAATTCATTGTTGCTTTAGATGGTAAACTTTTGTATGTTTAAAGAAGAAGCAGAAACTGAAGAAAAGTTGGAATGAAATAAGAAAAAAATATATATAAACGACTGTAAATTATGATGTCTTAAACACACAATGCGAAACACATTAGCAAAGATATTATTCAAGATGGTTTTTAATGTGAGTAATAATTTCTTTCAGTTCTCACAAGCAACATGTTTTTTATCTTTTTCACAAACACCTTCTTAAAGTTCACTCTTTAAAATTAGGTGCGAGACTACACCGACGAAATATTTCTTTATAAATGACAATAAACTTGGTGACGCAATTTTTCAAAGGATTCTTCATTTTTTGTTGAAAGCTTTTTATTTTCAAGTTGAAAAAGCGAAAGGAAAAAAGAAATTCAACGCATTCATATAAAGTGAGGCATAAACTGAGAGAGGAAAAATATAAAGTTGATAGCACCAAATCAAACGGAGAAAAATGAATGAACCAAAAAAAAGAAAAGAATTTACAAAGCGTAAACGGCCTGAAACGATTCATTTTTTTATATTTTTGCTTTGCTTTACTTAGGTTTGCCGAGTGCTGCCTTTAAATGTTGGATTGTCTGTAAAAATCAATAAATATAAATTACCAAACTTTGAGTGGTGACATTGCGAAAGAAGAAAGAGAAGAGAAGAAAAATGAATTTTCTTACATTGAAACGTCTTTAAGTGAGTGATGAAAGTTTGAAGGAACGAAAGCAAGCGACAAGATTAATCACGGAATCAGAGTAATCGAAGAATTTCAACATTAAGGGAAAAAGACTTGTCATGATCTTTCGCGTGCTTCTGAAGTGGGAAAGTGTATAAAATGTGTTACCTTCTTTAAAGTAGAAAAGAACTTTATGCCGCCTCAATCATCACAATTCGGAAAAACAAAGTTTATTTTCCTTCCTTTACGTCTGAATAATTTTTAGGTCAAAAAGGAATGAAAAATTTTCTTCCATTTGCTATTGATCTCAGATAATAAGGAGGTTGTTACGAAATTATAGCCTAAACATTGAACTTTTACACTTATTTGATTTTTGTTTGCTTCATTTCATTCTTTCAACAAACGCCTCAATTGACAAGAAGAAAGAAAAGAAAAAAAAATAAGGGACAAACAGAAATCGAATTTGTTTTCCTCTCAATCACCAAAATGTGTCAAATCGAATTTATATCATGCAATTGGATGGGCTGGACAAAAAGCGAGAGTTGAGGGATGAAAATGAAAAATTGATTAGCTTATTATCGATTCTTCCTATCATCATGCTCAATGTGCGATATGTAATAAAATAATACAATCCAATTCGATAATTGTACAAATAAAAGTACCTATATACATATATA